TCCTATAGATACAACTAGCTCTTACTCCATTATGGTTTGAGAAGGGCAACCACTGACTATATTACAAACACACAGCCAGACTTACTGTACCATTTAATCTTTCTTTTAATGAGGATTTTTTTCTTCTATACTGTTCACAAAACATGCACTGCACTTTCCATGGCAACTACCACATCATTAGACACAGATACCATCCCACGCAACAGTGTTTACTACAAGTAAGAATGTTTCCAAGAAAATTCCTTTCTGTAGCTGAGAGCCAGCAGAAAGGTGCTTGCCAATGAACACACTTCTCACCTTGTCATGTTTGTCCCTCAACCCACAGATGGAATTCCTGGAGAATGGGAAAGGTCTCAGAGGACTGGCGAAGGGCAAACATGTATGGTACCTGTCTTTAAAAAGGGGGACAAAGAGGAGTTGGGGAATTATAAACTAATTAGCCTAACTTGGATACCTGGAAAGGTACTGGAGGAAATTATTATGCAACAAATGTGTAAGCACGTAGCAGATAGCAGGAGTAATGGAATAGCCATCATGGATTTGTCACAAACAAATCATGCACAACCAACCTAATTTCCTTCTTTGATAGGGTCACTGGCCTAGTGGATGAGGGGGAAGCAGTAGACATGATATACCTTGATTTTACAATGCTTCTGATACAGTCCCACATTCTCATAAGCAAACTAGGGAAATGTGGTCTAGATGAAATTACTATATGGTGGGTACCCACAACTGGTTGAAAGACCATACTCAAAGAATAATTATCAATGGTTTGCTGTCAAACTGGCAGGGCATATCTAATGGGGTACCACAGGAGTCTCTCCTGGGTCCGGTACTATTCAATATTTTCTTTAATGACTTAGATAATGGAGTGGAGAGAGTGATTATAAAACTTGTGGATGATGCCAAGCTGGGAGGGGTTGTACGCAGGACAGGATCAGAATTAAAAACAACATTGACAAATTGAAGAATTGGTCTGAATTCAGCAAGAAGAAATTCAGTAAAGGCAAGTGCAAAGTATTTAACTTAGGAAGGAAAAATTAAATGCACAACTACAAAATAGGGAATAACTGACTAGGCAGTGTAATGCTCAAAAAGAGCTGTGGGGTATAGTGGATCACAGATTGAATGAGTCAACAATGCAATGCAGTTGCAAAAAAAAGAAATAAACCCCAGAATGATATTAGCAGAAGTATTGTATATAAGGCACGGGAGATAAGGTCCCACTCAACTTGGCACTGGTCAAGCCTCAGTTGGAGTACTGTGTCCAGTTCTGGATGCCACAGTTTAAGAAAGATGTAGACAAATTGGAGAGTCCAGAGGAGAGCAACCAGTATGATAAAAGGTTTAGAAAACCTGACCTGTGAGGAAAGGTTAAAAATACTGGACATGTTTAGTCTTGAGAAAAGAGGACTGAGGGAGGACCTGATAAGTTTTCAAATATCGTAAGGCAGAGGTCCCCAAACTGTGAGGTGTGCCCCCCTGGGGGGCATGAAGGAATGTTTGGAGGAGCATGGGGGGGCCTGAGCCAGCTCTGATAGGGGGTGGGGAGGGAGTGCCACCCACCCCTCCCCACCCCCAGCTCTGCTTCAGTCTCACCACCAGCCACGACCACACACCTGGCCCCGCCCACAGCCTTGGCATGGCTCCACACCCGGCCAAAGGCCCAGCTGCTGGCCCGCGCTGTGGCTCCGTTCCTGGCCCAGGGCCAAGGGTGGAGCGAATCTAGGACCGGCTGTCGGCACCCACCGCAGCCCGGATGTGACACTGCTCCTGCCCCCACCCCCAGGCTCTGCCCCTGGCTGCAGCTCTGGCCCCAGGCCCACTCCTGGCCCCAGACCCACCCTTAGCTACGGCCCTAGCCTCGGTCCCCTTATTCTGTCCACCCCCTGCTCCTGGCCCTGGCTCTGGGGGGCATGGACAGGGGCAAGTTGAGCGTGCGACCCTCAAAAGTTTGGGGACTACTGTCCTTAAGGGCTGTTCTAAAGAGGACCATGATCAATGGTTCTCCATGTCCACGGAAGGTATGACAAGAAGTAATGGATTTACAGCAGATTAAGGGAGATTTAGGTTAGATATTAGGAAAAACTTTCTACTGTAAGTGTAACCCACATACCTCCTGGGTGTGGTGGTCTGTCCCATCTAGTGGCAGTGAGACCACTCAGAGAGCGAGAGAGAGAGAGAAAATGAGTATGCTCTACAGCCTTAGCTAACAGCCAGTTGGCTTTTAGCTCATGCTGTAGAGGCTCATGCACTAAGCTCCAGAGGTCCCCGGTTCGATCCCCGCGACTGGGGTCTGTCGGCCTTACATAAGTGTAGTTAAGCTCTGGAATAGGCTTCCAAGGGATCCCTGTCATTGGAGGTTTTTAAAAACAGGTTGGACAAACACCTGTCAGAGATGATCTAGGTTTACTTGGTCTTGTCTCAGCACTGGAGGGCTGGACTTGATAACTTCTCAAGGTCCCTTCCAGCCCTACATTTCTATGATTCTATACTCTTCCTTCAACACTTGATCCACTTAACAACAACATATAACACTTGATCACTGAACACCACAACTACTGTCAAAGAGCAGAGCACTATATTGGAACTCACTCATATTTGGCTCAGTCAGTTACAGTAGAAGTGCTCAGCTGGGCAGTTCATTCCATCTCCAGAAGAACATAACAAACTAGCCTGAAAGGGGTAATTGGTTTTAAAGAGTCCCGCTTCTTTCTGTTCCTGAGGAAAGAGCAGTGCTTAATTTGTAATGAAAGAGGTGCTAGTGCTCAAGCAATTTTTATATATATATATCTCTCTGATGCGGCAAGCCCAGAGGTGCCGGGACTAGGAACTGCCAAGCCTAGAGGTGCCAGGGCAGAGCACTGGGAAAGAGAATTGGATCAGTTGAAAAATCTACTTAATATAATATAAAAGTGCCTAAGTGACTTTCACTGAGATTTGTGCTCCTAAGTCATACAGGTGCATTTGAAAAACCCAGCCTAAATTAGTAGTAAAAGCTGTAGGACACATTCTACCCTTGATTTTTTGTGCAGAATGCCTGCTAACATGAATGCCTTTTGGGTGAGATGCATAACTACAGCCACCTCAATCAGGAGCTAAAATTATGAAGTGGGATGCCTTTTTCTGTCTACTGCACCTTTACATTTAAAAAAACAACCCCAAAACCCAGTGCCCATGTGCAGTGACAGCAGCCAGTTTGTTCAGTGTTGCTTTTCCCTGTTCAGAGAGACCCCTATTGTGCTCTCTGTTGTGCAGCCTTGACTTTTGTTCTTATTGTTTTTCTTACATTAGGATGTTGTTGGATGTTGCTAAGGGTCGTGTGTTAATCCAGGTAACATGGCCAAATTCTAGCACTGCCTCTTGTTTGCCTACAGTTTCAGGCAGATCCAGTATTCACTTCCTAAACCAACTGTATACTGTTCATCAATTGCTGTGTTCAACCCCAGAGGTAGCATGCATTACAGATGTGGCCAGAATTCTCCCTCTGTGCCCGTACACCATGCAAGGGTGTCGAAACTTAATATTTATGAAGTGCTTTGAGACCCATGGATGAAGGTGCTAGAGAAAGCACAAGTATTTATTATAATCGGTATTCATACACACATCTTCTGGACTTGAGGGCTGCTATAACGCATCTAAAATAATGAGTTTGCTTTATGAGAAATCACCAACTCATAAGGTCACGGAGGTGAAAAATGACTCCTGAATATATTCACTCTGAATATTATAAACTCTACTGATCCAGGCAAACACACTGCAGAGAGTTTTATTTGCGTCATAAATGAGTACTCAACTTGCTCAAGTAGCTATAACAAATGTTGGTTGCTGTTTGCAGAATGAATGTAGCAGTATGCCCCAAGAACAGTGATCTTCCACTCTCCTTCATCTCTAGTTTTCCATGAAATATCTGTCTGGTGGCTTCTCCTGTGAGATAAGGCTCTGAGCTCTGCTGACACTGCTGTCATTCTCCCTCTTGCTATTTGCAGTGGCACTGGCAGAGTGGCACTCATCACCTCTTGAAAAGACGCAGTGTTCACTGATTTCTCAATTCATTGAGCTCCTTGACCCTCTTCTTTCTGACACATGTGAAGTGGTCCTGGGAACATGACAGAGACAGAATCACTCTGTTAGTTTAAATAAGAATGCAGTATAAATAATCCAGGCTGTAGCTCTAGTACTCTGGGACAAAGGCAAGCTATAGTCCTGGTTCTCCACTGTTAGATGGGGTTTAGAGTTGCTGCTGTGGGAGTGGAATCAGCAGATCTTAATAGGTAGCATGTGTAACGTTTAAAGCATAATACAAGAGATTTCAAATGCTAGAGGATCTTAAAGGAACTGGAAAGAAGCAGAAGAACCTGCTGCTTAGAAATAACAATGTGATCGTTTTAAGACTCTTCTGGAGATAGGAAATTTAGGCCATTTAAGGCACAGCCCTAAATGGCGATGGCGTTGCATTGCTCCAATGGGAGCATCAGGGGGGATTGTGCCCTTGCACACTCTGCACTCCCCTGCTGTGTGTGCCAGGAGAGTGGGGCCATAGTTTCTGTCACGCTGGTTCTGTGTGGCTTGTTCCTCCTGGAGCACGAGCATGGAACAGTCCCTTAATGGTGGAAAGTCCAGAATGCAATTGTGGCTGGCCCTTGAAAAGGTCCCTTTCACTTCAATGGGAGTTGTACTCACGTAACTGAAGGCAGAACTGAGACAGGAACACAGGTACACAGGGGAGAATGATAAAGTAGCTAAGGGCATGCAGCAGAGCTGACTGCTTTTGTCTGCATGGATTTTAAACATGGGAGACCTAAGTAAGTAGCTCTTTTTTCTGTCCTATACTACTGTCATCATAGGGCTTCATAGAAGGTAAAGGCCAACCAAGGGGTGTGAGACATTTACTACCAGGTTGTGACTAAATAGAAAGGAACTGTATTGCCAACCAACAGATTCACAAGGGTCGGTGTAGAGTGTAAGGATGTTCTCTAACAGTGTTTCTTAAATTATAGGGCTTGCCTGCTTGGGGAGGCAGTGATCTGTTCAAGGGAAGGGGAGGTGTGACTCATCTATTGACCAATCAAGAAAACAATTACTTTTTCCTTGAGATTCACCAATATAGCCATCAGTTGGAGACTGAATGTCCTACAAGGTTCGTGCCCTGTCTGCATGTTTAAAATAAGTTGCCAATGTTTTTTAAGTTTTGAGCTTTTTAACCTTTTTTTTTTTTTTTTTTTTTTTAAGTATTTACATCAGGGTTGGCTATGAATGTGACTCTTACTGTACTTTCAGAGTAGATTTTGTCAGAGTTGTAACAAATGCACGGATCTTTTTCTTTCTGTATAACAATTCCTAGAGTGCATTATTCATCTTGAGAAACTGGGGATTTTCAGTGATGGAATATTTATATCTCAGCACTAGATAGTATAATCAGGCCAACCATACCAACATAATATTCTTCCTTTCCCCACCTGTATTGGGGTGGTTGTTACAAAGATGTGACACACACACACAAATGCAGATCAAAAGAGATCTGTTTCCTGGCTTCAGCCACATGACTTGGGCCAGAGCTACTATCACATGACATGGGTCAAGGTTACAAAAAAATTATCTACCCATGTTACATGGCAGATGACAATAGTCACTAACTTGAGTGACTACTGTAACTGTGGTGATGTGAAACTGATTTTTTTTCTGTGTTATATAGTTGAATTAAAAATGCTCCACCGGACATATGCTTATTGGCCCCAGTGCCTGCTTGTGAGCTGGCAAAAGAAGAGACTTAACAATTGTTTTTGATTCTGTGTCTTCCTGTATTGACTGCTAACACGTATCTTGTACTGCACGTATACAAAAAACGTAGGGGGAAAAATCAATAGAAAACAAACCTTTCATGGATAAACACTGAGAGCAGGGAAGCAGGCAGCAATGAAAATCAAATCAACAGAGCTTCAAAATGCTGGCAAACCTACAGCAAAGTAGGAAAAGGCAATAGACAACTCATCCCCTCTCTCCTTAATAGCAGGTTTAACTTTCCTCCACACCAAACTCCTGGAGTTTTGTTTAAAATGTAACTTAAATCCTAATCTGTCCGCTGGCATCTGAGAGGCATTTAAAGTCACTTCATGGTCTCTGTGAGTTATAAAAAGGACTAGATAATTATTTTAAATACTTGGAAGGTCATTGAGATGCCAGCCATTATAAAGTTGCTAACTGTTACCACATGGTGAGATGCCAGTTATTTGCTCTTACGTGTAGAGAACTATACATATAGAGAGCAATATGTCAATGAATCTAAATGTATTTGGTACGTTGGAATATAGTGACAGTTGTTATGCATATCTCCACTGCCATTCCCTCAAGTTTTCTAATTGGTATGCTCTTCTTTTTTCTTCTCTTTTTAGTTGATGTCTTCCATGCTTCTGAGGGGGACACGCTTGTGATGTCACCCAATTTTTAATTTGCTACGTGCTCAAGGTATGGTGGCCGTGTTGGTCAATTAGCTTGTACTAGAAGTCGGGGGGGAGGGAGACTTTATCATTTAATACTTATTTGGAGACACTATGGCCCAGTGGATAGCGCACTGGACTGGATCTCAGGAGATCTGGGTTCTATACCTGACTGCCACTGGCCTGCTGGGAGAGCTTGAGCAAGTCACCTGTAAAATAAGCATAATGATGCTGACCTCCTTTGTGAAGAGCTATGTGGTATTTTAATTAAACCGTTAATTTTTCTAAATGCAGTGAACGTGACACCTTTTTCTTTAGATGTACATTCACTGATAAAAGCAACTAGTGCTTTAGAGCCAGACAACAGTAATGGAGAAATAGCGAGTGACTGGATTGAAAGTGAGTCTTTGAATGAAAAGATGCAATGAAGTGAGAGCCATTACTGGGGTTTTCAGGCAACTAAATATGTACATATATTTCCCCATTTCAATAAGCGCACGCTAATAGATCTTCAGTTATTATGTGAACATGCATTCAATATTCTTGAAGTCTGTCATGTTACATTTTGTGTGTATGATGCCTTCCGATGAAGGTATCCTAAGACAACCACTAAGGGTCACATAGTGACTACAGGATCTGAGGAGTTCCCTTGTGTGTAATTAACCCTATGTTCTTCCATAGAATAACAAAATGCATTTCTACAACCTCCTTTACAAAATGGTTTCTGGGCACTGCACTAAGTAGCTCAAGGGTTCCCAATTTGTTTATAGTATGGGACACCCCTTAGTACTGATATTGCAAATGGGAGTGAAGGCATCTAGAAGACAATCACATACCATCCTTGTAATGCACTGCTGTAATTGTTACACTTGGGAGAGTAGTATTTATGTATTTTTAGCTGTTTTCAGTGCAGTTAAGTAGATTTTCCTTTTGGGGGAAAATTAATCACATCCTCTCTTTTCTCATCAGTTCTATTTCTCTCAGCCAGAACTGAGGAGAACTGGCACCATGTGACCAACCAGCTCTTTAAAAATGACCTGTGGTCCCTTGACCACAGTTAGGAACTGTGGCAGTAACTTAATAAAGGAATTTTTGTCAATTTAGTTTAATCCCAAAATTTTGGTTTTGACACAGCGAGTTTTAAAAAGAGCTAATATAAATACTTCCTCGATTTTTAACAAAAAATCAAAAAGAAAACAGGTTTTATTTTAATCATTCCCCTGTCGTACTCTGAACTCCTAAATACCATTGTTCTCAACATTAGTGGATTTATAGTTTCATCGGCCAAGCTGTGTGAAATGTACAAAAAACAATATAAATGTTGAAAAGTAAATTAAATTTTCAAAATTTTCAATTTTAATTGTCTAAGATGGTGTTAATTCTCTTAATACACAATATGATTTTTATTTTTACTATCTCTTGAAAAAATATTAATATTACATTGGAAACACAAGAGAAACATAATGGACCCTGTAGACATATCTTTGATTAATGCTGCTTTCAGGGTTCTAGCAACAGCTCTGCTCCTATATCCATATAAAGAAAACAAGATAACTGGACTTGTATTTAAGATAAGCATATTCTTGTCCCAATCCTGCAAAGACTTACAAACCAAATCAGTGGGACTACTCGCAGTGCATAAAGTTAATCATGTGCATAAGTCTTCATAGGATCAGAACCTGTCAGTTAATTAGCCAAGACTTAGCTGTGCCAGGAAGCTAAGTAACAAGTTAAATCACCAGGATATGAAATGGATAAAGATGGCCAGCAGGACAGGTAAAGCTGTGGCCATGGAGAGAGAGGTTCAATGAAATAAATAACATTTGCAGCATGACCGCATCAGATGGTAAAGTAAAAGGTTTAGGGGGGAGGTAAGAAGGGGGTATACTTAGAGCTATTGGTCTCCAGGGTCAAATGGAAAAGAACAGCAGCAAATACTCAATACTCACAGTGATGGGCACATAAAAGTAGATGGATGAAACCGTGATCATGGATGATTTATTTTACCCTGACCGAGTGGAGTAATAACTGCAAATGAGCAAAAAAAAAAAGTGTATGTTTCTGTAGGAGATCAGGCAGAGCAGTTTCTCTATTAAACTACCAAGAGCAGTATTTGTTTTGAATGGAATCTGACTCAGAAGGCAGAAAAACCTGTTCTCTGCAGACCAAAGATTTGTAAAGGAGTGCACAATAAATCGGAGACACTTCCCTACTCCAGAAAACATATTGTGGGAAAGGAGGAGGCACAGTAGGGCCCCACCAAACATGCCATTGCATGGGTGCATTCCAAATCAATATGCTCTTTTTTGCTCGAGCCAGAGATGGAAGGGATTTCTCCAAGAAGCAGGCAAGAGCTCTAAAAATACAGAGCACGCATCTATTAGGGGAACTGTACTAAATGTATTCTGAAGGTTAGAACTGCGAATTTACAATAAAAACCAAAGCCAATTGAAAAACAATCCAATTGTGTCATTATATACTGTATCCTAATGAACTTGTGTTCCACCTCTCCTGGCTGGAATTAGAACAGCTCAGCTATAGCTCATAGGTCTTATATTGCCAACAGATAACTGAATCTCGTTTAGCTCAGTTAACAGGGGTCTGCTTTTGGAGCAGGGTGGTCATAGTTCGTCCATCTGAAAGTCTAGAAGGCCAAGGAATGCTGTAGAGTGACCCCTATAAAGTCTTAGGTGGCTACATTTGTTAGCATATATGGCAGATTTTTTTTTAGAGCGTATTGCACTAATGAATGCCCTGTTGAGATAAATTGGTATTAATGCCATGTAATGAATGGTGAAACTGAGGCAGAGAGGCTAAATGACTTGCTCAGAGTAATGCAGTTCCAGTGCCAGGCAGAACTCCATTTCAGCTTCTCAGTCCTATGTTAAACAAAGTACTTTAATAAGAACATTTTTCTTTAAAAAGTAACAGAGGGTCCTGTGGCACCTTTAAGACTAACAGAAGTATTGGGAGCATAAGCTTTCGTGGGTAAGAACCTCACTTCTTCAGATGCAAGTAATGGAAATCTCCAGAGGCAGGTATAAATCAGTATGGAGATAACGAGGTTCCTGCCTCTGGAGATTTCCATTACTTGCATCTGAAGAAGTGAGGTTCTTACCCACGAAAGCTTATGCTCCCAATACTTCTGTTAGTCTTAAAGGTGCCACAGGACCCTCTGTTACTTTTTACAGATTCAGACTAACACGGCTACCCCTCTGATATTTTTCTTTAAATGTCACTCAGGAGAATTAATGTAAAATAGCCGTCATGCCCCAGAGCCATACTAAGGGATTTTGTAAAATAGAATCTGTCAAAAGGAAATGCACCTTTCTTGAAAAGCGGGGAGGAAAAAGCAAAAATCAATAAAGAATGAAATAAACTATTTAAACAGTTAGTTAGCCTCTGGTATTACAAATGAGGCCAGAGTCTAATTGTTTACATTTAAAATTAGATTCACCAGGTTAGGAGACAGTAAGCATACAGATTTAAAACTCAGGTTTGTTTCTCAAAGGTTAGGAGCTCTTCAAATACATGAAGCCTCCTGACCAGATAAACCTGTGTAGGCTTTTGGGGTTTTGTTTTTAATTGATTTTTTGTTTGTTTTTGAACAGCGCTATTGCAAGGAAAGAGATGTGACAAAAAAGTCAGGGGGTGAACAAGTTTGAAAGAAACAAAAATCGTCTGCCTCAGACTTTCAGCAAAACGAACTGAAGTGAAGCCGCCATTCTAGGAGTTTTGAGAAACTCTTGATGTTTATTTCCATTGTTTTTCATTTTTGCCTCTTCTGCCCTTCGTACATCCTGGTGGGACTGAAAGTGGAGGGTTTCTGTGTGAGGCGGTTTACAGTATTTCCAACCCATATGTTAAAGCTGTTCTCATTAGAGTTCCAGCCTGGTTTTGCAAGCCCAAGAGGTTCTGACACTTAAATAAATTTCAGTTTTAAAATTGTACTGTTGGTTCTTTATCTTATACAAACTGCCCAGAGTTACTCTTCGTTCGTGGTAGTTGTGATGTCTGTATCTATGAAACTAGTATGGAGCTTCTTGTTTTCTGTGTACTATACCTTTATATCTTAAGCATTCTCCCTATGTTCAGATTTCAGCCATTTTTGTTCTTGGAACTCAGAACAGACTGTTGGAGGAGAAATGCACTGCATGCCCTCTCATGGAGACTCCACATTTCTTCTTTTAATATTGCTCTGTGTGTATAAAAGCAAATGATAGCAGCACATATTAAGATTGCGTTCTGTTGACACACTGACATATTGAAGTCAGTGGAGTTATGATAATTTACACGGTTGAGGTTCTGCCCCATAGTGCTGCAACATCGAATTTTGAAATAAAAGGCTAGCATGGGTTTGTAGACCTGCCACTCTTGCCTCCATTAAGACCCAGTGCCATGAAGGGTTCTTTGCATTATGGGTCTGATCCTGCACCATTGAAATCAATGGGAGCTTTGCAATTGACTATAATGGGTGCAGGATCAACCCCTGTGGATGAATTCCATCCCTTGTATATAAAGTTTACAGAATTCCTGAATGATTAGTCCATAAATCATTCCTTATGAGGCATTAATAACGTACAGACAGAAGACGTGGAATCTGATTATCTCTTGAGAATCTAATATTAATGAAGCTCAATGTTTCTTCTGAATTAGCAATACTACAGTAATACCATAATTAAGTTTGAGATCTTTGCAACTAACACATCAAGCTTAAACAGGAATGAACATATTTGTTGCCTGAAAAATGGAATAGAATCCAGATGGCACAAAATGATCTAAACAGATAGGAAATTATAGGCAGCTTTTCTTTTTGAGAGCTAGGAAAAAATCCCATATGACAGAATGCTAACTTTGCACAATAATTCCGTAAATGTATAGAAGGTCTTTCCTTTTGCTTAAGTCCTACATCTTACTTTTTGGCTTTTATTTCTCATCCTTTCCAAACTGTATATATCAAAAATGATAAAGCCTCTGAAATCAAAATCCCTCTACAACTTGGGGGATCTGTCTATGTACAACTAAAAAAATTCTGTAAAAAGTGACAGAGTCCTGTGGTACCTTATAGACTAACAGACGTATTGGAGCATAAGCTTTCGTGGTTGAATACCCACTTCGTCAGACGCATGGGTATTCACCCACAAAAGCTTATGCTTCGATACGTCTGTTAGTGTATAAGGTGCCACAGGACTCTTTGTTGCTTTTTACAGGTCCAGACTAACACGGCTACCCCTCTGATA